GTACCCCAGTCCCTCCGCCTGCTCTGCTCCCCACTCTGGCTCTGGTGAAGTCTCTCACCCTCCCACACCTCTAACTGTACCCAGTGCATGTATAAACAAAACAAACAAAAAATTAATTAAATAAATAAATAAAACATGCCTCTATTAAAAAAAAATTAATGAGGGGAAAAAGTAAATAAAATTAATGAGGGGCAGCTCTTTCTGCCTGCTTGTGTCTATGCAAGTGTCTTTTACTCTTCTATCCCTTTCCCTAATAAACCTGTTCTTTAAATATAAATAAATAAATAAATAAATAAATAAATAAAATTAATGTGGGGGGGCACCTTGGTGGTGCAAAAGGTTAAATCTCAGCACTATGAAGCTATCAGCAGCCACTGCAACACAAGTTCCATCCCCATCCAGGGAGCTAACCCACATGGTGCAGCAGACCTCTCCTGTCTGCCCCCTGCTCCCCTTAGCATTGTATTTCAGTAAATCCACCTGTTCTGCTCCCCACTGTCTCTGGTGGATAATCTAACCCAAACCCACCTCCTGCACTGCTGGCCTACACCCCGTATTTCCTTGTAAAAATAAAATAATTAAAAAATAAATTAAATTAATGGGACTTCATATTGGTCCAGTCGCTCTTCCATCTTTTTCCTTAACTCTCTATCGCCCTCTACTGCCCAGGTGGTCTCATTTTTACAAAGTTCAACTCAGCAAATTAAGGGAAAAGGTGTTACTTGTGACCAGTGGCTCACTTTAACTGTCTCCATTACACTCACTCAAATTTGTGAGGGCAGTAGTGGTTTCTCTATTCTTTGCCCTGTGACCAGTACAAAGGACATAGAGTCTTGAGGGGGACACATGAGGGGGCTTTCATGCATGACAAGAAATACTTCTGTGGGAGGAATGACTCTGAGCCAAGAACTCACCAATCACAACTTTTGTTCCTACTGACATCCATATGAAGAATCTAAATTTAAAAAGAGGACTCAGGCTCACAAATGTGATTGATTTAAGGTCACAGTTTAGTGAACGTGGGACATGATGTGAAGATTTGTCTGCTTTTCAAAATAGGTCCTTTTCTACTACATTATAACAGAATAAACCAGTTGGTATGGAACACTGAGGTGGAGGCATCTAAATCTGTATTGTTGTTACGAATGGGAAGACCTTAAAAAAAGAGACTCTTTGGGCTTTTCTTTAAGAATTATTTTTTTTTTTTTTTAAAAGAGGCACGTATTTTATTTATTTATTTGTTTGTTTGTTTGTTTATACATGCACTGGGTACAGTCAGAAGCGTGGGAGGGTGAGAGAATTCACCAGAGCCAGAGCGGGGAGCAGAACAGGCAGAAGGACCGAAGTACACTGCTGAGGGGAGCAGTGGGCGGCAGGAGAGATCTGCGCACCATGTGGGACCCTCCTCCGGTGGGCGGGGAGCAGCCGGGGATCGAACCGGCGCCGCAGAGGCTGCAGGGAGCTTCACAACCCAGCGCTCAACCACTGCGCCACCAGGGAGGCCCAAGAATTATTTTTATTTATTTATGCATACAAGAAATGGGGTGTAGGCCAGAAGTGCAGGGGATGAGAGGAGTCACCAGAGACAGAGTGGGGAGCAGAACAGGCAGATCCATTGAAATATACTGCTGAGGGGAGCAGTAGGCCAGACAGGAGAGGTCTGCTGCACTATGTGGGTTAACTCCTTGGCCAGGGATCAAACTCATGCCTCAGTGGCTGGTGATAGCTTGATAGTGCAGAAACTTTAACCTCTGAGCCACTAGGGAGGTCCAGAAGAGAAAATATTTGATTTGGGCAGAAAAGGGTGGTCAAGAGCAGCAGCAAGCCAGAATACAAACCTGGGACTTAGTCAAAGAACAGAAAGTTGGGTGCTGTGTGGAGGAAGAGGGGCAGGAGATGAGGCTAGAATTGATTGTACAGGGCCTTGAAAGTGAGCTAAAAATCAAAGGTCAGGACTTCCTTATCTGGGGCATTTGTGCTGATGGATCTCCCAAAATGGTTGGGGTATGAGAAATCACTACTGGTAAATATGACATATCATCTGGAATTTTACTCAATTTTACTCAAAAAGCTTGGGAAAAGACAATCCTGTGTTAGCCTATGATAGATATATTTTGGAATTAAATGTGAAATCATGTGAATTTAAAAAACACACTCCTATTTCAAAGACATTTTCCAGCTGCAGTAAGCTGCTCTCCAGTAAGTGGCTGATAATTCACTCTCAGGTGTGACTAGAGATAGGTTAACATGGAGCCATTTGGAAGCACCACTATAGGAGAAGGCAAACCATGGACTTAGCTCCACAGAAGGTTTAGACTAGGGCTGACTGGGATTCAAAATGAATAGGAGGGGCCTCTTTGGTGGTGCAAGGGATTTAGTCTCAGCACTGTGACAATATCCGCAGTCATTGCAGCAGTAGTTCAATCCCCAGCTCAGGAACTGACCCATATGGTGGAGCAGACCTCACTGGCTGCTCTCCTCAGCAGTGTGTTTCAGTAGAGCCACCTATCCTGCTCCCCACTGTCTCTGGTGAATCCTCTCATCCCCCCCACCTCTAGCCTACACTCCAGCTCTTGTGTGTATAAATAAAATAAATTTTGAAAAATGAAGAGGAACTTACTGACTTTGGAGAGATTTCAGTCTAAATTTAATAGAATGGATAATTCTGAGAGAGAAACAAAGAGAAACAAAGCAAAACCCAGCTGAAATCGCCCCCCCCCCATCTCCTTGACATGCTCCTTTTACACCTCATTGATTCTCGTATTAAAAAAGTACCACACAGGAGATTTCTGGACCTACTAAACATAGAGCTTCCATATGATCCAGCAATTCCACTCCTAGGTATTTACCCAAAGGACACAAACATCAATTCCAAAGAGCACCTGCACCCCTATGTTTATAGCAGCACTGTTTACAATAGCTAAGCTTTGGAAACAACCCAAATGGCCAAAAATAGATGACTGGATCAAGAAGATGTGGTACATATATACCATGGAATATTACTCAGCATTCAAAAAAGATAAACACATGCAATTTGCAGCAACATGGATGGCGCTGGAAGGGATCATGCTCAGCGAAATAAGCCAGAAAGAAAAAGAAAAATACCGGATGGTCTCACTCATAGCAGGAATCTAGAAAACTTAAATAAGGGACCAGGAAAATGAATAACTATAAGAAAGTGAAAATCAAAATCAACAAAAAACTATGAACCAGAGACATTCTATGGAGGGTGGAGGGCGGGGAGGGGAGGGATTGTGGTCAAATAAGGGGGTTGCAATTGTATGGGGAATATAAAAATAAAATTTATTAAAAAAAAAAGTACCACACAACTCTCAGACTTCCTGTGTGACCTTGGACAAATTACTTAATCTCTTTGTCCGGCAGTTTCCTTATCTGCAGAATGGAGATAATAATACAATACAGTGTTTGCATTAAGAATTAAATGAAAATTTGTATGATGCTCTTAGAGTCTGGAACAATGTTCAGCACTGTTTTACCATTAACTGTTATAACAGTATCATTATTACAACCTATACAACTACTCTGTTCATCTCTCATGGTCATTCATATTGGGGGTAGGGAGTAGTTCTAGGAGGAAGAAAGAAATGAACAAGACTTCTCATTGCACTTGTATGGTCTTATGAGTTTTGATTTGTCCAGCCACACCTTGGCACATAGGCGCTCAAAGTGTTTGCTGAATGAATAAACGTCTTCCTACTGAACTGCAAGTTCTTTACAAGCAGGGACCATATTTCCTGCTCACTGTATTACTAGAACCAAGCATTTGATGAAGCACAGAGCAGGCATTTAGGGATTACAACTAATGAATGATAGAAGACATAAATGGCTGCAGGAGAAAATCATTTGGACCACAACGTTGGCATAAACTACTGTAAAAACATCAGTGTTAGTGTAACAGGGTGGTCCCCAGGAAAGGGGGAGGTCCCAGGGTCCCTCCCCACCCAAGGGAGAGTGGAGCTGAGCAGGAGAGAAGAAGCTGCAGAGGAGACTGAGGAAGGAAGCAGGATGGAGAGCTGGAAGGAGACCTGGAGGAGGTAGGTGGAGCCGAGAGACACGTGAAGAAACTATGCTTGCCTTTTGGTGGTAGACTGGTTAACCCAGATGTGGGAAGGTGACAATGGCGGGTTTTGTCTTGATTTTAATTTTGCTCTTCATCTTCCAGACTTGTCTGATTGTTTCAGATCCTTTTCTGTGGGTCCCCACTGGGAAGACTTGTGGCAGGCTTTGGGGCCTTGCTCTGGGCCAATCCCATTTGGGTGGACTTTTACCCACGAGGGGACGGGTAACTTTGGGCGCTTGATTTAGAAACTATATTCTTTGGGGCCTCCCCAGTGGCTCAGCGGTTGAGCACTGGGTTGCGAGGCTGCCCACAGCCTCTGCAGCGCCGGTTCGATCCCCGGCTGCTCCCCGGCCACCGGAGGAGGGTCCCACATGGTACACAGACCTCTCCTGCCGCCTGCTGCTCCCCTCAGCAGTGTACTTCGGTCCTTCTGCCTGCTCTGCTCCCCGCTCTGGCTCTGGTGAAGTCTCTCACCCTCCTGCGCTTCTGACTGTGCCCAGTGCTTATATAAATAAATAAATAAATAAATAAATAATATTAAAAAAACCCTACATTCTTTGCCTTTCCTGTATTGTTTCCTAATTATACTAAAGTTCCTTCCCATCAAAGTCTCATATGTTTTGTGTTGCTGCTGCGGATGGCAGAACCTATTTGGAGCAGGCAGGTTTGCAGGGTCTGGGGTGCCCCTCTCCCTGCCCTGTAACATTAGGTCTGTAGAAACACCAGGTTGGTGTTGCAGAAACACCAGTTTTAGGAATGGACTGAGCAGAGGAAGAGACCTGCAGAGCGGAGACATTAACAGCACAAGGACTGAGCGAAAGCCGGGCTCCCCCGCGCCCCGCGGTAGGGAAAGCCCCAGCGAGCGCCGCTGTCCAGGCCCCGCCCAGGCCCCGCCCAGACCCCGCCCCAGGATCACGTGACCCCGGCGCGCGTGGGGCTCGTCGCGGGCCGAGCGCGTGGGTGTCTCAGCGCGGCTGCTTGCGCTATGGCGGGGCTGGTGGACTTCCAGGACGAAGAGCAGGTGAAGGCCTTTCTGGAGAACATGGAGGTGGAGTGCAACTACCAGTGCTACCGCGAGAAGGACCCGGATGGTGAGCGCTGCCCGCGCGGCCTGGGGACACTTGGCGGCGCCTGGGGGCAGAAGGCGGGGGTTTGGTCGAGTCACGTGAGCGACCTCAGCGGCGATCCGAGGGGTCACGGCCCGCGACACGTCGGGGCGGGATCTGGGGGACACTGAGACCTTGTGTGTGTTCGGAAGGCGCGGATTGGATCCCAGGAGGACTGGCAGGGCCATGGCTCCGGCGGAACCCAGGCTGGGGTCGGGAAGGAAGAGAAGTGCTTGGGCGTTTGGCATAGAGGGACTGGAGATACATCGGTGAACAGATGAAATTCCCTGTCGTCGTGGAGCTTATATTCTAGTCGAGGAGAATGGAATAAAATAAGGAAATAAATAGCGGTGTTAGAAAGTCAGTGCAGGGCCTCCCCGGTGGCGCAAGGGGTTAAGACGCAACCTATGGAGTAGAGCTATCCACAGCCTCTGCAGCACGAGTAGGATCCCCGGCCAGGGAACTACCCACGTGGCGAGCAGACCTCTCCTGACTCGCCCGCTGCTCCCCTCAGCAGTGTATTTCAATCAATCTGCCTGTTCTGTTCCCCACTCTGGCTCTGGTGAATCCTCTCACCCCCAAAACCCCCCCAATACACACACCTCTGGTCTGTACCCCAGCTCTTGTATGCATAAAGATAAAATAAATCTTTTTTTAGAAAAAGAAAGTAAGTTAATGCAGTGGGGAAAAGGACCGACTGAGAGATTTCAGGACAACAGGAGGACAATTTTAAATTGAGCTGTCAAGGGAGTCATTGAGCACCTCTGAAAGGGCCCAGCAGGAATGTGCCCCTTGTGTTTTGGGAGCACTGATTTGAATTGAGTGTGTGGGTGGATGGTGGTGTCCAGAAGGGGCCACCGAGAGCAGACTGTACCTTGGGTGGTTTCCTATCTCCTACTTTATTTTTATGAGTGCAAAACAAAAGATCCCTGCCCGACCTTCTAATAGCGTGCAGTCTAATTTCTAGGACATCATATAACTGTATCTTGAAGTTAAGCAACTACAGAGTTGTTGTGAGGTGTGATGGCTGAAAAAGAACCAGGATAGTTCGTCAAGGGCTAGTCCATGTCCTAAATGTAGAGAAAGTAGAGTCATGAAGTAGGATGGATGGGGAATAGTGCTGGAGGAGTCATAAGAAGCAGCAAGTATTGATTAAATGGAGGAGAGATGGTGGGAAATGAAAATGCTATTTTTTCAAAGGTTGAAGTTGAGCGTGTAGTCAGAAATAAAATTGAAGAGGGACCTGGGCTACAATGTGTCAGGCCTTAAATGCCAGGGAAAGACATCTGGACTTCATTTTTTGTAGGCAATGGAGAGCTTGCTGTGTTTTTGAGGAGAGTTCAAGGTAATATATTCCAGAGAACATCCCAAGCAATGGGGTGGGGAAGGTGGGCATAGAGGAAGACCTGGCTGCAGCACTTCAGGAGAGCTGTAGTTACTCCAGCTACTGGTATAGTAGTTTCCTATAAAGTCATCATAATCTCTCACATGGGAATTACTGAAATCACTTTCTAACCTGTGTACACTCTTGTTCTCTTAAATTTTATTCTACTTACCAACTGTTGTTTTCATTTTTATTTTATAGTAAATGCTAATTAGATTTTTAAATAACAAAAACAACACATTTGTTGTTATCAGTGTTGGAGTGTCCCCGCTTACACACTTAATTGCATATACAAAAATACGTGCTAGAGTAACCTTTTGAAAAATGAAAATTAAATCATAGGGCTTTAACTCTTGAAACTTTCTAGTGGTTTGCCGTTGACTTGGAATGAAATCCTAAGTCCTTCCTATGTTCTCAAGGCCCGGTGGTCTGGTTCCTCCCTTTCGCTTTCATTTCTTGTCCCTTTCCTTTTCAGTTTTACCTGTGTTATACCTTATTTATGTCAAACGTATTCCCTCTTTTGGATCTTTTTTTTTTTTTAAGATTTATTTTATACAAGAACTGGGGTACAGGCCAGATGCGCGGGAGGGTGAGAGGATTCACCAGAGGCAGAGTGGGGAGCAGAACAGTCAGAGTGATGAAATATACTGCTGAGGGGAGCAGCGGGAGTGACAGGAGAGGTCTGCTGTGCCATGTGGGACCCTCACTGGCTGGCCAGGATCGAACCAGCACTGCAGAGGCTGCAGACAGCTTCACAGCGCGGTGCTCAACTGCCTGCGTCACCAGTGGAGGCCCTCTTTTGGATCTTTTTATTATTCCTTATATACTGGGACTTCCTACCCCTTTCCTATTTCATTGTGTTTATTTTTTAAAAAGATTTATTTATTTATGCATACAAGAACTAGAGTGTAGGCCAAAGGTGTTGGGGAGTGAGAGGATTCACCAGAGACAGAGTGGGGAGAAGAACAGGCGAATCTCCCAAAACACACTGCTGAGGGGAGCTGCTGGTAAGACTGGAGTGGTCTGCTGTACCATGTGGGTTAGCTCCCTGGCTAGGGATTAAACTCATGTTGCAGTGGCTGGTGATAGCTTGATAGCGCTGTGCCTTTAACTCCTGCTCCACCAGGGAGGCCCCATTTCATTGTGTTTATATAAATCTTTCTCATTATTACATGTCAACTCAGATATCATAGTCCTCAGTGAGACCTTCTCTTACTGTTCAATCTGCATTAAACATTTCTCCTAATGCACATTTCTCTTGTACTGTTTTCATTTCAATCATAACATTTATTACTGTTTGACTATATCTCATTCACCTGTTACTGACTGCGTTTCTCCTCTAGAATGTGATTTTGGAGAGGGCAAGTGACCATATTCCTACGATCTAGAACAGTGTGTAGTACATAAATGCACAGACACGCACAAATAAATGTTAAATGAAAAAGAACATGAGGTGGGTGTTCCTGGAGACGAAGAAGGAAGGACGGGGAAAGAGATGTAAAGGAGATGCTTCCTGGGACTAGGGGCCTTATTTCCAACGCCTTTGATAGCTACCATTTCTATTTTATCTTCAGGCTCGCTGAGGAGTAAGTGTAGTCATTGAAGCATCCTTTTCTTACTGTTATAAAGATTATCCCGTGGGCTCTTTTCATTTTCAGAGGTTTACTGCTGAATTTACCAAGATGTCCCAAAACTAACAAAGTTTCCTCATGGAAGTCAGTGGGCCTTCAGACCTGATTGACAGGGAGCTGAAGGGCTCCCTCAGAGGGGCTGGTGAATGGTAGAGCCCATGCAGGGGCCAAGGTCTCACCAGTCCATTCTCATGCCTGGTTGAGGACAAACAATGCCATTTGTAGGGTTGAACTGAACATCACCTTTATTCTATGTGGTATGATCACCTTGCCACACCTCGGGAGGACAGAGGCTGCTCCAGAATAAAAGACACATTCTGGCCTGTACATTTCAGCCCTCCCCATGCCAAGCAGCAGCCCCAGACGTGAAGTATAGCTCTTGCTTTTTCCTTACAGGTTGCTATCGGCTGGTAGACTATTTGGAAGGAATCCAGAAGAATTTTGATGAGGCTGCCAAGGTGTTGAAGTTCAACTGTGAAGAGAACAAACACAGTGATAGCTGCTATAAATTGGGGGTCTATTATGTGACTGGAAAAGGTAAGGAAGGGGTCTGCTTTCTTTCTCTTTGTCATTGATGATAGTGCAGGTGTCACTTTTTGATCCTCACGCTGAGCCCTCTTCATAAGAGGGTCCTCACAGGGACTGAAGAATATTTCAGGAAGGTTTGGAGATGTCTTCAGGAGGTCAGTGGGGAAAGGGCACAGCTTTTTAAGTTGGGCAGTAGTGGGAGCTTGTGCCAGTTACTTTTACTCTGTGCCTCAGTTACATCATCTGTAAAATAGAGAAGGAATAGTACTTGCTTCATAGAGTTTTTGAGAGGGTTAATTGAGATAGTGTAGATAAAGACACCAGAAAGTGCCTGGCACAGAGAAAAGAATCAATACTGGTCCCTTGCAGCTATCTTTTTCCTCAAGCCCTGATTGTAATTATCTCTGGAGTAAGTTTCTATTGCTAAATAGCAAATGATCCCAACACATTTTTCTCATAGTTTCTATGAGTCAGGAACATGGGAGTTTCCTATCTGTGTGCCTCAGGGTCTCCTGTGAGATTGTGATCTCAACGTTAGCCATGAAGCTCAGTGAACCCAAACAGGATAGCCAATGAAAATCATACCTAGACGTCCTGCCAACTAACTGAAAACCAAAGGTAAAGAGAAAATCTTAAAAGCAATCAGAGAAAAAGACACACTGAGGGCAACAAAGGTGAGAATAACCACCGACTTTTCATCAGAGGTAACGTAAGCCAGATGACAAAAGAACATCTTTTGCATGCTGAAAGAAAAACTGTCACACTTGAATTATACTTTAGCAAAAATATCTTTAAAAATGAGGATGAAATAGGGCCTCCCCTGGTGGCGCAGCAGTTGAATGCTGGGCTGCGAAGCTGCCCTCAGCCTCTGCAGCGCCGGTTCAATCCCTGGCCGCCTGCGAGGGTCCCACATGGTGTGCAGACCTCTCCTGCTGCCCGCTGCTCCCCTCAGCAGTGTATTTCTTTAAAAAAAAAAAAAAATGAGGATGAAATAAATTCATTCTCAGATAAACAGAAGCTGAGAGAATGAGTAACTAGCAGACCTACACTAGAAGAAAGTTAAAGTTGTTTGAGGTGAAGGAAAATTATGACAGATGGAAACTAGAGTCCATACAAAAGAATAAAGAACACTAGAAGATGTGAGTAAATAAGGCTTTCCTCCTCATTTCTGAATGTCTGAATAAGACTGTTTAAAGCAAAAAGAATAGCAGTGTATTATGAGGCATATACTTTATAGAGATGTAAAACAAAAAAGGTAATATATGGGAATAAAATATGACAGTAAGACTCAGAAAAGATGGAAATATGGTGAATGAAAGTATGCTTTTATAAGGGACTTAATATATGTAAAAATGGTATAATACTAATTCATGATAGGTTGTAAGGTAAGGCTATGTATTATCATTGGAAATTTATAATCACTTGGGAAAAAAAGTTTAATTAAAACACAATGATGAGAATGAAATGACCTAGGAATACATAGTTCAGAAGAATACAAGACAGAAAAAAAGGAGCAAAAGAGATTAGGGACAAATAGGAAACAAGTAAGCTTGCAGACTTAAACCCACTGTGTCAATAATTGTGTTAAATGTAATTTAAATACTCTAATGAAAATCAGGTTGGTCAGGCTGGATATAAAAACAAGGCTGTTTAGGAATACATTCTCAAAACTGAAAGTACTCAGGGGACATAGAATTTGTGAGCTTTTTTTTTTTTTTTTTTTTAAAGATTTATTTATTTATACAAGCACTGGGTACAGTCAGAAGTGCGGGAGGGTGAGAGAATTCACCAGAGCCAGAGCAGGAAACAGAACAGGCAGACTGACGAAGTACATTGCTGAGGGGATCAGCGGGCGCAGCAGTAGAGGTCTGCGAGTCATGTGGGACCCGCCCCCGGCGGCTGGGGATCTAACAGGCACTGCAGAGGCTGCAGGCAGCCTCGCAACCCAGCCCTCAACTGGGAGGCCTGGGGAGGCCTGCATAGAATTTATGAGCTTTTCTTGAGAAATCTAGCTGGTAACCAATAAAGGGGTGAGTCAAATAATTTAGGAATAGAAAAGCTCCTAGGAAAAGACTGGTGATGCACAGATTAGAATGAATGCCTGCTTTTGCGGTGTCACTGAGGGGAATGTAAATGAAAAAATCCTTTACAGTGTAGAAACCCCATAACATTTACTGGACATATTTCTTTGACAGATTCTTTGTAAGAACACATTTAAGCTTCCAACAGGAAGTAGATACTTTAATCCCTATTTTACAGATGAAGAAAACTGGGGCTCGTAGAGAGAAGATAAAGGATTAGAAACGTTGACTTTACACTATCAACAGGTAATAGAGCCAGGGCTGGAGCCTAGGTTTTCTGCCTCTGGAGCCCAGACTTTACTAACCATTGTGCTTTGCTCTCCTCCTAAGTTGAAATAACTTACTGAAAAGGTGGGGAAGGATAGATGGGAGGAAGTGTGAGATATCCATATCCTCATCTTTTACAGTTGTGAGTGAATACTATCTGGAACTTAGTTAAAAAAATAGAAGTAACTAATATTTTCATATTTTTAATATTCACTTTATAACCATAGATTCCCATTTAGGAAATTTCTTTGGTAAAAAATATTCATTTGAAGTTCATCAGTTTCTTGAATTTCAGTTCAGTGTATTTTTTTTTCTGAATAAATTCAAGTAAAATCAAAGTTAACTTTGAAATTTACAAATAGCATATGTCATCCAATTTTCAAAGTGCTTCTTTTTGTCCATTCAGCCAGCCAGCATTTAGTTAGAACACATACTACAAAGATGATGGATTACTGTTTTCTTGTTGAGAATGTTGGTTATTTCTAGGTAGTTGATTTGGAGTGATTTCTTTTAAAATTATGTTTAAAAGATAGTTTAAGAGTTTATATTTTTTGAGACTATACATGGGAAATTGCAGTTTTCTATTAAAAAAAAAGCAATAAGTAAACCCTGTCATCATCATTGCTTAAAATGACCTGTTAGTGGCTTCCAGTTGCTCCTAAAATTAAATACACAGAGTCCTTAAGACCCAGCGTGATGTAGCCTCTGCTTGCCTTTCCAACTTCCCTTCCCCAGTGATTTCTGGGGTCTAGCCACATGTGCTACTTTTCTCTTTCTTTCTTTTTTTTTTTTAATTAATTTCTTTATTTATATAAGCACTGGGTATAGTCAAAAGCATGGGAGGGTGAGAGAATTCACCAGAGCCAGAGTGGGGAACAGGAGAGGCAGACTGATGAAGTACACTGCTGAGGGGAGCGGGAGCAGTGGGCGCGGCAAGAGAGGTCTGTGCGCCATGTGGGACCCTCACCGGCAGCCAGGAATCAAACTGGCGCTGCAGAGGTTGCGGGCAGCTTCACAGCCCATCGCTGAACTGCTGCGCCACCAGGGGAGGCCCTGCTTTTCTCTTTCTATTCCTACATTCTGGAACAATGCTCACCCTATACTTTCTTTTCCTTCTTTTTCCCATTATGTCACAGCTCATTGTCTCTTCTTTGGGGATACCTGTTCTAGGTGAGAGCCCTGATACATGCTTATAGCACCCTGTACTTTTCCTCCATACACTTGTCACACTTATCTTCATACGTTGTGTGGCTATTAAATATCTGTGTCATTAGCCCACAAGATCTGTAAGGGCAGCAACAGTGTTTGTTCCCTAGAACCTAGCACAATAGTTGGCAAATAATATTCAGTATATATTTAAATTAACATTCAGGGAAGTGCTTATAAGAGGCCATGTTCTTGCTGTAGCCCCAAAAGGTAGATGTTATCATTCCTGCTTTTTACCTCCTATACCTTTTGGGCTTCCTTGTAAGACAGCATTTGAGCAAATGAGCCCATGGCTAAAAAAGCTAGAAGGGATGTGCACTATACCAGTCTACCTTCCTTTTGTGAAGGCTGCCTTAGCTCAGAATTTATGAACTGCATTCAGGAATTGCTCCCTCATTCAGGAATTGTTCCCTCAAAACCTGAGACATTAGGTTTTACCCTAATTTGGTTTACTTTTTTCTTCCCTATTCTTTCAGGTGGATTGCCACGTGACTTGAAAGCTGCCTCTAACTGCTTTCTAATGGCCTGTGAAATGCCCGGAAAGAAGTCTGTGGAGGCATGTCACAATGTTGGTCTTCTGGCACATGATGGACAAGTCAATGAAGATGGCCAGCCTGATCTGGGAAAGGCCAGAGACTACTACACAAGGGCCTGTGATGGCAGTTATGCCTCCAGCTGCTTCAACCTCAGCGCCATGTACCTGCAGGGTACCCCTGGCTTTCCCAAGGACATGGGCCTTGCATGTAAATACTCTATGAAAGCTTGTGACCTAGGCCATATCTGGGCCTGTGCCAATGCCAGCCGCATGTACAAGCTGGGAGATGGTGTCGATAAGGATGAAGCCAAAGCTGAGGTGCTAAAAAATCGAGCCCAGCAGCTGCACAAAGAACAGCAGAAAAGTGTCCAGCCTTTAACATTTGGGTAGTGTGGCCTACCTCCTACACATCAGACAGCTTGAGGCTGCCCCTTCCTATTTCTGACCTTGGTAGTCCACCTGTTGGAGCAGGAAGACTTGGACTTGATATCAAGAGCTCTGGACACATAGGCCCATTATCCCAACGTGGCACCTATTGGGACATAGCCTGAAATGTTTATTTTCAATATTCCTTTATCTGGTGTGATCTGTGGAGACAACATTTATAGGGTATTGAGTTTTCAGACTCACAGGTCTTTGAAACACAGAAGCAAACTAGAGAGCCAAAGAGATCTCTAGATGGAGAGGGGTACTGATGGGCAGGAAGTTGGAAAAATTAAAGCCACAGGGCCTGAAGGAATCAGACATGATTATTATTATTTTAGCTGGGAGGGCTTAGAAATCAGAAAGTATCTTGATTTACATAATAGAAGGCTTAAGGAGCTAAGAACAGTTAAAAAGTCACGACTGCCACCCTCTGACTTATGTAATCATTGGTGTGGGCTTCCTTCTTGCCTTTAGAATCAGATATTTCAATAAATTCATAGAGATCAGAGGGGCGTGACATGAGACATAGAAATTAAAGGTGGTTATCGCAAAGGAGATGAAACATAGCCTTTCTCTAGTGGAGAAAGTCACAGTTAAAAATCAGCATGCCCAGGGCCACTTAACTGGCTCTTCCTGTCATGCTGAGGGAACAGATTATTTATTCCCTTTCCAAGGCCACTTTGGCTAGAAATTTGAACAAGGACTTTGTGGCACATCTTGTCCCTCAGAATTGAATCTTTTTAATTGTCCTTGTCAATAAACTATTTTGATTGATTAGTAATTTGATTAGTATTTTTAGTGTTCATTACAGATTCTGTATGGGGTAGAAATTATGTTCATAGTGGTTGTGCCCTTTTCTTTTACGAACATTTGCTTTTTCTACTCTCTTCCTAACTTGCCACCAGGGGGCGAGCTGGCATTTTGCTGCTGATCACAAGACCATTATTTCTGTCATCACCTACTGTTTTGGGGCTTCCAGTTTTGCACCTGCCCTAGAAGAAGGCTTGCAATGTGTATGAAGGTTAATGAGCATAGCCAGCTTCTCAAGTTGATGGAGGAGAGGGACTTCCCCAAGAGTTGGGAAGTTTTAATATGCAAATTTATTTTTATTTTTTTAGTTTTTTCCTCCCTACTGCCCCCAATTTGTTTTGAAAATGTAAATTAGCTTTTGTTGTGTTAAAACTGTAGCCCAACAAGCATATGTAAAGATGCTCAACATCATTAATGACTAGGAAAATGAAAAAGTAAACTACAATGGGATAATTACTTAACATCTATCGGGATGGCTGTTGTCAAAAAAAAAAAAAAAAGACAAGTATTGGCTGGGATGCAAAGAAACTGGAATCCTATACATTATTGGGAATGTAAAATGGTGCAGCCGTTATGGAAGACGATATGGTGACTCCCCAGTAAATTAAACAGAATTACCACACTATCCAGGAATTCTACCCCTGGATACCTCTCCAAAAGAATTGTAAGAAAGGTCTCCAAGAAATATTTGTAGACTTACGTTCATAGCAGTATTCACAATAGCCAAGAACAACTCAACTATCTACTGATGGGTGAATGGATAAAGATGTCCATACATACAATGGGATGTTTCTCATCTTTAAAAGGAAGGAAATTCTGATACATGCATCAACATAAAGAACCTTGAAGTCATGCTAGGTGAGGTAAGCCAGTCACAAAAAGATAAACAGTGTGATTCCATTTAGATGACATATCTAAATAGAGACCAAAAGAAGGATGATTCCCACTGGCTAAAGAAGGAATTATTTCAATTTTGCAAGGTTTAAAAGTGCTGAATGGGGCCTCCCCGGTGGCGCAGCGGTTGAGCGCTGGGTTGCAAAGCTGCCCGCGGCCTCTGCGGCGCCAGTTTGATCCCCGGCTGCTCCCCGGCCACCGGAGGAGGGTCCCGCATGGCGCGCAGACCTCTCCTGCCGCCCGCTGCTCCCCTCAGCAGTGTACTTCGGTCCTTCTGCCTGCTCTGCTCCCCTCTCTGGCTCTGGTGAATTCTCTCACCCTCCCGCGCTTCTGACTGTACCCAGTGCATGTATAAAACAAAAACAAACAAATAAATAAATAAAACATGCCTCTATTAAAAAAAAAAAAGTTTAAAAAAAATAAATAAATAAAAGTGCTGAATGGAGACTGCTTGCACAAAAAAGTAAATATCAGCACCACTGAACTACATGGTTAAGGTGGTAAATATTAGTTTATGTCACTACCAGCAATATTTTTAAAACACTAAACATTTTATTGCTTTAAAATGGAAAGTTAGAAGTTTCTGATTTTACTTCCCCCACACCCACTTAAAAGTCATGTGTTTTTTTTTTTTTTTTTTTTTTTTTTAATATATTTTTTTTAAGATTTATTTATTTATTTATACAAGCACTGGGTACAGTCAGAAGCGCAGGAGGGTGAGAGAATTCACCAGAGCGGGGAACAGAGCAGGCAGAAGGACCGAAGCACACTGCTGAGGGGAGCAGCGGGCGGCAGGAGAGGTCTGCGCGCCATGTGGGCCCCTCCTCCGGTGGCCGGGGAGCAGCCGGGGATCGAACCGGCACCACAGAGGCCGCGGGCAGCTTCGCAACCCAGCGCTCAACCGCTGCGCCACCGGGGAGGCCCAAAAGTCATGTGTTTTTTATTACTTTAGTCCCCCATCCGGGGTATGCATGCTCAGTGTAAGTCATTCCCTGATGTGCTCCTCACTTAATAATGCTCAATTTCCCCTTAATCTAGTTCCTCCACCTTATGGTTAGGACACCCACTTGTCACTGGCCAGGTTGAATTAACCTAACAGATGCTTTAACCCCTTTTGTTCCACATAGCTTTGCAAATCAGGGAAGCTAAGGATACAAAAACAAAAGAAATTCAAGGCTTATTTTACATGGGTCAATTTAGTCCTTGAGAATACTGTATGGCACTCCATACTTAAATACTTGGTATAAAGTAATTACAATTCTTCTGACATGCACTACCCCCACTCTCTCTGACAGCACATACACTCAAACATGCTAAAGTATAATTTCCATTTTATTTCCCCAGAGGAGTTTTTCGTCAGTCCTTAAGGACTTAGGTCCTTTACATGGGCTTTGGAGAAGGCCATGGGGCATCACCTGTAAGTCTAAATCAGGATGGGGGTTCCATCCTTCTGGGCTTTAGGAGGAAGATTCCTGCCTACCTTAATGTGAATGGCACCACCCACGCAATGATGTAGTTTCACGTATGTACAGCTTGGGAAGCACATAGGTGTCCAAGACTCTCACTTCAGCTACTTCCCTGGTTGCTGTGGCCTCCACTGTGTTTTGAATAATGAGCTTTTTTTAAAAATATTTTTTAAAAGATTTATTTATTATTTATACAAGCACAGGGGTACAGTCCAGAGGAGTGGGAGGGTGAGGGTGAATTCACCCAAGACAGAGTAGGGAGCAGAACAGGCAGAACGACCGAAATACACTGCTGAGGGGAGCAGCAGGTGAGACAGGAGAGGCCTGCCGCACCTAAATTTTTTTTTAAAGATTTATTTATTTATGCATACAACAGCGGGGGTACAGGCCAGAGATGCAGGGGGTGAGAGGATCCACCAGATACAGAGTGGGGAACAGAACAGGCAGATTGACTGAAATACACTGCTGAGGGGAGCAGCGGGCAAGACAGGAAAGGTCTGCTGCGCCATGTGTGTTGCTCCCTGGCCGGCCAGGGATCGAACTCATGCTGCAGAGGCTGTGGACTGCTTCACAGATTGCGTCTTAACCCCTTGTGCCACCGGGGAGGCCCTCTAATCACTTTTTTTAAAAAAAAAAGATTTATTTATTTTATACAAGAACTGGGTGCAGGCCAGATGCGCGGGAGGGTGAGAGGATTCACCAGAGACAGAGCGGGGGACAGAACAGGCAGACTGACTGAAATACACTGCTGAGGGGAGCAGCGGGCGAGACAGGAGAGGTCTGCCACGCCATGTGGGACTCTCGCAGCCGGCCGGGATCGAACTGGCGCTGCAGAGGCTGCGGACAGCTTCCCAGCATGGCGTTCAACCGCCTGCACCACCAGGGGAGGCCCTCTAATCACTTTTTAAAGAATCATCTTTTCAAATAAATAATGGGTTTTGTAATGAATAATGAAGGGTTTTTTTTTTGGGTGAAAAATTAAGTTAATTTGATTTATGATGGCAGATGTGCTGGATTATGCTTTTACAGACCAGTTTCTGCCTGAGACCGGTGGTGCTTTTGTACTGAGTTGGAGGTAGGAACAATGAAATGAATATTAGCAGTATCAAAATGTTACAATTCACAAAAAGTTAGTAAAATGCAAAGAGTAATAATTAATAGTCCAGGAAGTTCAAGGCTATTTCATACCCAGGTTTCTATGGGAGGAATGGACTGATGAAACCCAGCGTGATTGAGTTTCTCACTGTGGTGCAAACTTTGAGGCAAGGTTTGAAAATGGAGTTTCAGACTCTGGTCCCAGCAAGAAGTACCATTACTGTGTTTTCCTGCAGCAGGTTTGTGAACCACTAGCAACTATTTCCAATATATTTCCTCCATGCCAGACTTGGGTTGGATGATCTAACGCCTAAGATGTTTCATAATTGACCATTGGCTTGTGTTCTCACTAAAACTGTATGGTGCAGTGTTCAGTGTTGGGTACGAGCTCAGAAAGTAAGGAGGAGCTGGAGAGTCTGGAGATTTGGGACTGCATTTTGGGAGGCATGCAGGGTCACCAAAGGGTTGAGAGTAGGAAAATGAATTATTTTATTTGGAAAATGAACTGGAGGACCGGTGGGGATGGGAGAAGGGGGTCTGTGAATGATGGAGTTAAACAGATTTCTAGCCTGGGCATTTGGGTGGACAGTGGGAGTAATTCATACTGATTTAGAACCTGTAAAATTGAGATAGAAAGAAAGTTTCAAAAAAGGGCCTCCCGGGTGGCGCAGCGGTTGAGCGCTGGGTTGCGAAGCCGCCCGCAGCCTCCACGACACCGGTTTGATCCCCAGCTGCTCCCCGGCCACCGGAGGAGGGTCCCGCGTGGCGCGCAGACCTCTCCTGCCACCCGCTGCTCCCCTCAGCAGTGTGCTTCAGTCCTTCTGCCTGCTCTGCTCCCCTCTCTGGCTCTGGTGAATTCTCTCACCCTCCCGCGCTTCTGACTGTACCCAGTGCATGTGTAAATAAATAAATAAATCTTAAAAAAAAAAAAAAACTATTTAAAAAAAAAAAAAAGAAAAGAAAAAAGTTTCAGATAATTTGGTAATTTATTTTTTTTAAAGATTTATTTATTTATGCAAACAAGAATTAGGGTGTAAGCCAGAGGTGGGGTGGTGAGAGGATTCACCAGAGAAAGTGGGGAGCAGAACAGGCAGATCCACTGAAATATACTGCTGAGGGGAGCAGCGGGTGAGACAGGAGAGGCCTGCTGCGCCATGTGGGTTAGCTCCCTGGCTGGCCAGGGATTGAACTTGTGTGCAGTGGCTGGCAGTAGCTTGATAGCGCTGTCTTTAACCCCTGCACCACCAGGAAGGCCCTAATTTTTTTTTTTTAATTTAGAAACAAATTGCACTTTGATTTGTTAACATTTTGTAAAAATGCTTCAAATTCTTTATAAGGCAGCCTGGCAGAGGGAATATGCCCAAGACTTTAGATCCTGCATATGTGGACAACTCTGGGTTAGTCAAAATCAGACTAATCATCAGTGTTTAGGGCACCTAACAAAGAATGAGAAGATATAAGTTAAAAGATTGTTTTTGTTATGTTAAGAAGCACTTTGGGGAAAAACATAAACGTACCCCCCTTCCATTTTATTTTGGCTTCCTGGCAATTCACTTTGCAGTTTAGATCTCTTTTACTGTGCATTCTATGCTCAGGGGCACCAGACTTTTCCTAGTTGTCAGGTCTGAAGGTCTTGACCTAGGTTTTGAGCTGGTTGAGTCACCTGGCTGTGTGACCTTGGACAAGTTACCCTACCTCTGGGTCTCAATTTTGTCACCTCTTAGGTAGAGATAATAATATCTTCTACTAGGGTTGTTAGGAGGATTAAATAGCAGCTCCTGTCATCAGATAATACATGTTTCTTTTTTAAAAGTTATGGGACTAGATTTAACAATTAGGTCATTGTCTTCTCTCCAAGTGGCAGTGTAAGCTTTTGAGGGAGTCTAGCTTTTAAAACAGACTGCCTTTGCAACCATTCTTTTAATATCCAGGGAGCTGATGGTGAGGCTCTCTGGGGGTATTCAGGGCATGAAACAGCTGCAGGAGGCAGGCCTGGTGAGGCAGTGGGTAGGGCCTGCCTCCCACTTCCTCCGTTCTTTACTGCCCCAGTGGAGAGCGACTCACTGAGAAGACTTGCACCTGCTGGGGGCCCCCAGTGGAAACTATTCCCAGCTGGTGCCCCTCCCCAGGCTTCAGGAATGGTGATTGTATTACAGTTCATAAATCAGTCCTCTCTACTCTCTAAAGGGAAAGGCCAAAATTCTTTGCCCAATTTGTGTCCCCCTCCAACTCCATCCCATGATTCAGTCCCTCCTCCATATTTAGCCTCATCTTGTTCCTAACTTAGGCTTCTGTAACAGGGAACTGCTTGTAGTCTCTATACCACGCCAACCCCTCCCTCCAAAGTAACAACACCCAGGCTATTTCTTACTGCCATCATTTTGTGATGCTGGTTCCTCTGTCTAGAATGTCCTTTGGCCTTTTAAGTGGAATACGCTTTACCTTTAAGGCTCTGGAAGTGTTCTTTCATCCCCCAGGCTGGGAG